GAGCAGAGATGTGACATGTCCTTGGTATGGATGTGCAGCCAATTGAGGCAACTCCATAAACTCTTCAGGTACTGCTTGAGGGAAACCAGATATATCTTTTCACCCATATTCCTCTCTGTCCTATGTTTTATTCAGAAGACACATTCCCTGGAGTACCAAGTAGCTAGATAGCCAAAACACAAACTGAAAATAATGATGAATCTGTACAGGTAGTCCTCAACTTACAACCACAATTGAGCCCAAAATTTCCATTGCTAAATTGTCCCCATTTTACAACCATTCTCTCCACAGTTGTTAAGTGAATTACTGCAGTTGTTAAGTTAGCAACAAGGTTGTTATATGAAACTGGCTTCCAATACTGACACTGCATGTCAGAAGGTCACAAAAAGTGATCACGTGATCCCGGGACATATGCAAATGTCTTAAATACATGCCAATTGCCAAGCAGCCGAATTTTGATCAGGTGACCCTGGGGATGCTGCAACCTTCGTAAATGTAAAAAATGCTCATAAGTTCCTTTTCTCAGGGACACTGTATCTTCGAATGGTCAATAAAAGGACAGTTGTACATTGAAGACTACCTGTAGTTCAAAAACAGAAAAACGGCAAGCAAGTTATGCATTGGAATTGGTTTGGAGGGGAAATCGTATCATTTGAAATTCCCAAATCCAAGAAGAAAACCATGCCAGCAGAAAGTTTGTAAACATCTTTACAGACATAAAATTCATTGTTAGGAGAGTTCTCAATACCTTACAGCAAGCCTGTCAAACTGGTGGCCCGCGGGGCGGATACGGCCCGTGCAGGCCACGCCCACCCAGGTTCTGCAAAGGCAAGAAACATCCCGATATGTCACAATATGGTGTGCGATGCGATAGGGTCAGAAGGTGAAATTGAAAAGGACTTTTAATAAGCCTTACTAAAGTGTAATGAAGAAATTTCTAACATGCAATACTCAGAAATATATATGTAAAATGACCGTTGAACATAAAACCTAAAACATTTCCCTCTTAAAATATTCCTCATATTCATAATGTGTGAATTAATAAATGTTTAAGTACCTTAAAAATAAATGAAACCTTATGTTGATATTTCCTCCGTTCTCTGTTTTCTACTCTTCATTCATCCTCAATTTCCTCCCAATGCAATTTGACGTGGGAAGATAATCTATGATTTAATCTACTGACACATGCCAAGTAATTTTGCATTCACTATAGTATTGCCTCCATCCTGGTAAACAACTTTAGCGAGACAATGGTAGCTGGCAAGGTACAGCACCAGTCAACAACGCTCGGGGACAAAAGCATCTGGGAGCATCAGTGTCAATGAGAATTGCGTCACAAATCGGCAACATCTGGGATAATTCAACCATTCTGCTGGATGACTTAATGACACAATGGAACCTTTGTTCAACTTGTGGTCTTGGTAGGATCACTACGTCAACCTTCTGCATCTGACTCTTAGAGTAGTTTTACAATGTGAATGTCAAAATTGCTTCGTAAGCCCTATAGAAATAGGACTACAGCAATTACACAAATACTTTCCAGAAGGGTAATTGGATCAATCTCTAAATACAAGAGTGATGCAGAATACTGAAGATTAATCCATTTATCATTACACTGACTTTTGTGAATTTTATGCATTCAATAAATTAAGTTACGATCTATGAAAGCTTTAGCCAGGGTAAACACTAATCTTTAAGAAATTATAAAACTAATATCTTTAGTTAGATTTTTTTTAAAAACAACAACAACATAATCCTCCGAGAATAGATGAAACATCATATAAAAAAAACCATTACCCACATGAACAATTGATTATAATTTTTGCAAATTAGATTTCTCTTCTTGTCAGAGCGACTTTCTAGCACAGGGGTGTCAAACTGGATTTCCTCAAGTGCCGGATCAGCATTGTAGTTTTCCTCAACAGGCCAATTTGGGGGGGGGGGGAGCAGGAAATGAGATAGGCGCCTCCTGCAGCACCCTGCCAGCCAAAATGGGTCGGGGGGGGGGGGCTGCACACAGCCCCTCTTTGCCCTGTTTTGGCTGCCAGAGACATCCCGGACTGGCCCTTTGCTATTTCCAAGCCAGCCTCACAGGCCAGATTTAAGTACCCCTCAGGCCAAATCTGGCCTGCAAGCCTTGAGTTTGATACCCCTTCTGTAGCATATCATCCTTTTCCAGTGCTGCCAACCACAGAGTGTGTCATAAAATTACCCAAGAAACATACGTGAAACTAACTGACAATTGTTTGCCAAACTTTCATACTTTCCTGTTGTGGCCCGGCAGGAGTTGTTGGAGCCGTCGCCAGACTCCAACAGGGAGGGGTCTTATGAGTCGGCCCTGGAGGAGGTGGANCAACTTTAAGACTTGTGGACTTCAACTCCCAGAATTCTCCAGCTGGAGAATTCTGGGAGTTGAAGTCCACAAGTCTTAAAGTTGCCAAGTTTGGGTACCACTGCTACCTGGTATGCAAAGGTGGAGGAAGAACTTCTATGAATTAAGTGCATGCTTTGGCATCAATCATGAGATGGACCTTTGCACATGTGACCTATGCAGATTTGTCTACATGAATGAAAACAAACAAACAAACAAAATTAAGGTATCTTTTACAAACATTGTTTATATTACCTTTGTTCAGCTAATGGCAGTGAGAAATATTTCATCATTACTAAATTGTCTTTGAATTTTCTGTTCCATTCAATTCAACTTGCAATTCATAGCCAAAGTCTGGAATCATTTTGTCCAGACCTACAGGCATGTTTGGTAGAGCTCAGTGTGAACTTCTGCCACCTTTCCGAAATAAAAAGTGACCAATTTCTTCCATTAATAGCTATGAGATTAATGCACTTCAAATCGTGATTAGCAAAAGTCAATGGAATGTATATTGGATATCCTACTGACTCCCATTAAAAAAGAGAAAGTGTTTAATAATTTATTAACTTAATTTAATGAAAAAGTTAATAATTTATTCTTCTATGTTGAGGAAGCCATTATTAAAGCACACTAATAAAAGACAGTTCTTTTTCTGCCTTTTGTTTCTTTTGGTGGTAAGACCTATATTAGACTTGGAAAATCACACTGACGAAAGCTGATAGAGCAAAGTATAAAGTATTCCCTCTCCACATAGCTCTTCAAAATTACAAAATAATAAATAAAGGAAAAGGGCAATAATGTAATTCATGGAAAAAATGTTAAAGGATCTCCCCACACAAAACTGGAAAGTATTAGAACGTCACTACCAGAGAGTTTAAATTTAGGCGGATGACAGCAGCAAAACATTGGCACTATGAGAATTGTAATACTTCTGATGCCCTGTAGAGGGTGCTAATGTGAGCTTTCTTTCTCTTTTTTAATGTGTTAAAAAAATAATTTTCGACTATTGAAATATAACGACACCATTGGCTTTGTTCAGAGCCTGGCATTCTCGCCGCTTGTCTCTTTTTTTTCGGCCGGCTCAGGACCTGGCTTAGCCTTGGCATCCGAGTTCCCACTTCCACTTTTGCTCAGTCCGCGCGATAAGCAAGCCAGCTGGATCTGCTTCATATTTTCTATGGCTTCATTTTTGGCGTTCCTCAGTAGATCCCCTTGTCCCTAAGAATACACAAGAAATACAGGGAAACAAAATAAAACACAAAGCCATGAACAATGAAGGTTTCGCATCTGGCTTCCCTTCCCTTGCAGTGGCAGTGTTTTGGATAGAGAACAAAGTGGCTCTCTCTGTATGCATCTGATCAGAGGTCTGCTTTGAGAGGCAGCTGGTTCATGGTAACACCAGGGTCTTCCCAGGCCAGGATGAAGCTGGAAGGGCAAACTAATATCTGATTTAGCATATCAGTCACCCAGAACGTCTGGTAACCACTACAGGGAGGACAACGGATCTCGACGTTCTTTGGAAACAGCACTACTGAAGCCAGGAGAGTTTGGTTTAGGTGGGAAATTCTGCTGACAGCAGATTTTTATAAAATGCCTTGAACCAATCAAGAAACAGTTCAAAGTACAGAATGGTTCATCGTGGACACATTGAGCTAGCATCCCTGTTCTAGAAATGTTTTCACAGGTCAGTTGGAGTGATGCCTGAACTGTTGACAGAAAAGGAGCTTTGGTTTACATTCCTTCCCTACTCATTTTGGCTCTAAGGTGCTGAATTTGTAAAATTAATTTGGGGAGAATGGCGCGTATACACAGTAGTTTGTTCGGATGGCACATTCTTTTTTATTGAAAATTTTGAAAAAACAGCTTTTACAAATATTTACCTCCCTCCCCCTACCCTCCCCACCCACCCNCATCCGGTCACATGGGCGGCAAGCCACTCCCACAAAGGAGGCCACACCCACAGAGTAGGTTCGAACAATTTTTGAAACCCACCACTGGTTCAAAGGATACGAAATTGTCACTGAGCCATTAATTTATAAGATTTATAGCTCTTCCATCACATAATTCTTTTTTAAAAGAGATAGCATATTGGGCGAGTGTCTTCCAAATTTAAAATATGCCCAGGGACCTCCAAAATTGAGAGACTTGATTAGTTTTTGCTTGGGGCAAAGTAAACTGCAGAGTTAATGTGCATGGCCATCAACCACCATATACACTGTGAATATTTCCTAGTCAAGGTCCTTGTTTCCCTCATCTTTGGAATATGCACTTAAACTTTGCATGGGCAATGTGCATGTTCATTAGCCTGTGTGCATAATCTCCCAGAAACACGCCCGTGACTTCATAATGACAAAGTAAAGGTCTCACTGTAATTCTTTTGCCTTCTGTAAAGAGTGCATAGTTATCGTCCTCTATCTACTCAGAGCAGATGCAGATGGAGATCAATCACAAATGGGAGAAAGTATAACTTTTTCTTATCTTCTCCCGGAAATATCAAAGGCCTGTTGGCAGTGAACATCAGCAAAATGTTCAAAACACAGTCAAGAAATGACATATACTAAAGCCTGCTGGTAACCATTCCTGGAAAATGTATCAAACCTTAGCAGGTATGAACATCATTAAAACTGTTTTGGAAAATATAGGAATTGATAAGGAGATATGTACATTTCTTTCTTCAGTGTCAGATTATAACACACATCCCGACTGCCCTAACGTTGAATCGATTAGTTCTTCAGTCGACATAACTCCTAAATTGAATCTGTAGATAAATCCACTCACTACTCATGCACACAAACACATTCATAAAATGGTTTATGCAAAGTAGCAATAGCAATAGCAGTTAAACTTATATACCGCTTCATAGGGCTTTCATCCCTCTCTAAGCGGTTTACAGAGTCAGCATATCGCCCCCACA